AAGATAAAACAACATATTAATAATCCGAAATGTCCACAGTTTGCGTGTTTCATTTATCGATGTCATAACTAGACGCGACAGCTGGACACCCTGCCACTGCAGATGGCAACCTCTGAAATCTCAGTCTACCATTAAGTAAGTGGTTTAAAACAGGAGAGAAAGTGAACTTGACACTGAGAGAACCAAATACAAACGAGACAGCTTAAGAATAAGCTAAAACACTACGGTACAGAGAATCTGTCGGGCAGCTCACAGCTACGCAAATGATGATAAAATTATTGAAGTTATGGTACCTAAAAGTTCATCAAAGTTACCTCAGAAACACACCGTCGGACAGACATTCTACTGATACTCTTACAGCTATAAAAAACAGTTCTCTCAAATAATTTCACTGTCATCCCATCTGAAGCTAGATGTCACAGTCATCTCATGAAGTGTCAGAGAGTTGCAAAGAATCCATATAGAGAAACTCGATGTAGTTCTTGAGTTTCATCTGTCAACAAGATGGCTACAGCATGGTTGCCTGACTTTTAAATGATCTGACAACGGCCGTTCTGACGCACACAGCTGGCCAATAGGATTCAAAGATTTAAATATGCAAGGACATTGTCATATTAATAAAGCCTCTCATTCTATCCCGGAAACCATCACAAGAATTAATAAGTTATCACCGAAACAGTCTATGATGAGACTCTTCAACCATTCGACTAATCCGCCATGAAGGTAAACTTCTTACACGCCAAAGGCTTCCTTTACTGTTACATCTCCAAGGTTACTCCAAGGTTAACATCAGACTATATTTAAGTAACATAACAACAGTAAAGTGCGTTTTAGTTCGTTATATTAATGTTGATATTATTTTCATTTCGAGAAAAACGTATTAGTTTGACTCTTAAGTTAATTTTGAAGATAGCTCTCTTCTGGGTTTCAACGCCGTGTAGTCTGGTGGAAGTTTACCACCGTTTCAGAGGTCCTTGCTGCCTCCATCATCAGGGCGATGAAGACAGCTATCTGTCGGGGCCGGATAGTTACCACACCTACTACGTATCAAAGACATCCCAGATTCGAATCTCGGCACAGTCACCAGCTACCTTGACGTTTCTCGTGGTTTTTCTCAGCCCCTTCAAGCAAATTCCAGGATAGTACCTTAAATTAAGCCTTCCTTCCGTATCCTTCGCAAATCTTGATAATATATTTATTAATCACCCATAATTCTGCGCTATAGAGCCAGAGTTATTGGCAGCGTTAACGCTTTAATGATGAATCTGATGTAAATAATATTTAAACATTCAGTCCCTACCTGAAAGAAAACACGTCTGTATTACACAGATCACTTAGTAAATGTCATATAAGGAAATAATTGCCCTTTTCTTGAGAACCATACGAAACTCATACACACACGTTTTGGCATAATTAATGGTTACTGCAGGTGGCACAAATAGTTACCGCTGGGCTTTAAATTAAAGCGTTAAACCACACACTGATGCTTTTTCTCAGCAGCTGGTATAGTACAGTTTTCACGGAGGTGAGGACGATGTTCTTCTGCGATCTTTGGTAATTACCGACTAGTCTACACGGCGCCGAAACCGAGAGCAAATGATTAATTTGCTAGAAGAATGAACAGAAATAAGGAAGATGGCAACAAATGAAAGAAAAAAGCAGATTCTGGGTCGCATCTCGACTGTAGCAGGTAGAGTTCTCGAGCACAAGAGGAAGGTCACAGTTTATGAAGCGGCAAGGAAATATATATTCTTGTGCCTGTGAACTGTGAACTCAAACGACTGCTTTCTCTGCCGAGAACCCGTCATGCAGGCTGAACACTGATCTGTTCAACTAGCAGACCTGTTTTCTGTATAGTGACATCAGTCCCTCAGACGACAAGTTCACCCCGGAGCCTGGTTTGAATCTGGACTGACTGGCAATAGAATATTTCGTCATTTCCAAGAGTATCTGTGAGCGAACAAACAGGTTGCTCATTATTCACATTTAGAAGTAACCAGGACACATCCGGACCTCCGACCAGTTATCTTGTAAAGATCAGTTTGCTGGGATGTTGCGCCGTGTAGTCTTGTAGAAGTTTACCGACGTTTCAGGGGTGTTTGCTGACTTAGTCAACAGGGCTACCAGACTACACGCCAAAACATCTAAGAAAACAATCATCTTCACACTGGCTGTCTTGAGAACCTAAAACCTCACCGACAAATATGCTATTGCAAAGTTAATCAAACTACATACAACACTCAGGCTCAGGGTAAGTAACTGTTCAACTTTCGTTTAATTAAATATTCGCCGTATAGAAAAACGTTTCAAATTAAATTTTCAGATCTTAACGTGGCTTAAATTCATACAATGTGTATATTCAGTGAACGTTGAGCATGTTTTCAGAAAAAATATAATATTCAATCTGAGTTTCACACAGAGTTATATAGAGCCCCTCTTGATAGGCTAAACAAGTCACGAAATTCCCCGCTGAAAGTTTGTTACAGGGAGCAAAATAAGCAAATATTAACCAAAATAAAATCGTCCGGTAAGTTTTAGTGTATACTTCCACTTCCCAAACTTATTCCAGATTTAATTTGCACTATAATGACGCTGGCAGTAGCACAGATTACAATGTCAAATGACAAGATGATCAACCAATTCGACAGGATGTGGAAGGAAATGGTAGAGGCCTGATTTACGGTTCTATCCCGCTATTTGCCTGGAGGGACTTCGGAAAACCACGATAACCTCGGTCGGGATAGCCAAAAAAAAACATCTGAATAGCAGTCAGACCTCCCCACTGGGAAACACTTAACTAACACAGGTATACAGATAATTTGGAAAATATCTTGTTCAGTTCCTGACGGGGAAGAATTTTCTTTGAGTAATTTAATTACGCACATCAGCCATCACGTATTCTGCCACGCACCGTTTCAAAATTAATTCATAAAGGGTAATCAGTCGCCTGGACACTTATTATATGATCCCTTCGGAAGGGAGTGGACCCTTCGTAAGAACAAATGAACAGATAAAAGATACATCCATCGGTGAGATTTCAGGTTCTCATAGCAGCGAGTGTGAATATTACTGTCTTCTTGGATGTTGCGTGGTGAAGTCTGGTAGAAATTTAACGACGTTTCAGATATGCTTATTCGTGATGAAGGCAGTAAGCACCTATGAAACGTCGATAAAATTATACCATTATATACGTAGCAAAATTCCCAAATATCAGTCATATTCAGTCTGTTACAAAGTTACAAACTTGGCATCAGAACGACAGCGCACCTGTCTGGAAGCAATCGAGACACGTAACAAATCCGGCCTGTATCTACTAGACCCTGCCCTATAGTTTTGACTACAAATGAACATGATGTAGGTCAGCGTGTGCCTGAGGAAGAGACTGTGTCATCAACTAGTCTGTTTTCCTTCTTGGAATGTTTAATGACACTGTCAAATTATTGGTTTAAACAACAATATATGGCTGATTACAAATTATCATACAGGAAGGATGTAGAAGTGCTGTAAGCTGGTATCCCAACACTTTCCTGAAGAGAGTGATAAAAGCCAGGAAACATTAGGCAAAGTCTGCCGATGTCTGAGCTAAGATATTTACGCTGGACTCTCAAATAAGAAGCAGGATCACTTATCACTATGCTAACACCGCAGAGTTTGGTTAAAAAATACCATAAACATTATGTTAATGATCATAACGGCTGATAAAGTCGTTTGTTATTCGAACCACAAAATTAGGATCTATTACATTGTTTAAACATGATTTTAAAGTTATCAGTACGATATAAAACAAAAAGTATTGTGTTTGTATTGAGGTCAGAAATATAATTAAATAAAAGAAGTTATGAAATTTTCGCATCGACTGAAAATTTCGGGAATTTCGCCGCAAATCGACCATTGACATTTCTGAACGGCCATGAAATTCCCTGGCTGGATTCCCCATGCGGAAATTACCCCGTCGGTTTTTCCAAATCAGTCAAGTCACTAGGACGCGCAGAAACTCATGCAAATAGCGTAAAGTGGCTTGATGTTGATTGACTTCCAAGAAAACCGGAATGTCAACAGATTTTGGTGACACTCCCCAACATAAAACTTCGCGGGGAAAAAAACCCGCTCAGCGTTTTACTATTTCTTACATGCGGATAGACAGAAAAATATGTCAAAGTCGATGGGCGTATCTTTACAGTTTCAGTCGCGAACGGAAGAACTCAGACGAAAACCATGAATTTCACCTGCAGACACCGGGGAATGAATCCGGTTCTCCGGGGTGAGACGTCGGAGTCCAGTCGTCTGTGTAATTTCACCACGTGTCGTTACATAGATCATAAATAAGAAAATAAAATACAACAAAATGGTTGAGTATCATAAAATGCTCCATTCGAACTTAACTCTGAATCCGTTTACAGTTTTACAACTTATTTCTCGGAGGTTCTGTCATTTACGACCGGATTCCAAAATGCCATTGTGATTATCTAACCAAAATTTTAAATGAATTACCGGCTTCCCATGCATTCTATATGCCCAGCCTACCACAATTGATATCACACAAAGTGGTCTAAAGACAGAGTTGGTCGCTTGGTTGTCAATAATGCAGAATTCTGTATGTAATTCTTACCTTCTTGATGCATTCTATGCATCCAGTACATCCAAAAATGTAATTAATAAATACAGACAATATTCAACTGAACGTGGAGGTGTGCTGACTACAATTTCTGTTTAATATTCTAAAAATTCTGAGTTCGAATCTCGGCTCAACGATCTGCAATCATTACTGCGATTTCTCGTAAATCTCTTCAATAATTCCAGGCAAATGCTGAGATAGTACCTTAAAATATTCCATGATCGACTCTTTCAGCATCCTTCCCAATTCATAATTAACAATCGTCAAGCTATTCGACGCAGTTATTCGAATGCAAAAATATAGGTCAGATACCCAGTCTGACTTAAGAGGGAAAGGGGTAGTAATGCACATGCGGGTATGTGAACAGTTATTAATGGTGCCTTACCTTGTTGCTGGTCATGGCTGGATGCACCGACTAGAGAAGGTGTCTTCCTTCTTGTGGTATCCGATCACACTATACTTTTACGTATAATCCAAGGACTCTGTACCGCACACTAACACACACACTCGTCCACACCACTTTGTCACCAGTTCACTATACGGTCTCTTGCTGAAGAACAACAATACTGTTAAACATATGACCGTTTAGCACGCATGTTGATTCTTCTGTCTGTCACTGCACATGAAACCAGGTCCGCACCAAAAGCACATTCCTCCAGCAGATGAGATGTACACCACGGTGTTTGAAAAAATGTTGAACCTGTCGAGAAGAACAAGGTTTTATAGACTTAAAGGATTCAAACCTTGAGGTCTGTATGCTTCAGAGGTAAAAAGATGTGGCTGTCAGTGGTGGGGTCTGTGTCCTCCTCCCCCTCCCGCATTCTGGTTGTTGGGTTTCCCACCAATCAGTTAACTGCTGGATCTAAAGCCGCCAGAAAAAGCGAAGTACTGCAGCCAAAGAGAAAGTAGGCTACCCACACCACACTACACATACATACCTGAAGCACGATGATTCTGCTGGCCTGCCAGCTCCAGATGAAAGTCTCCCTAGACATCGGTCTTCTGGCCCTGCGTGGATGTGGCATACTGGAGCAAGCTTCGATAAAACCAAAACTGGTTCCCATTCATGTTCCTTTTTTAGCTGTTTCTCCCTGTTAAATCAGATTATAACTCTTCTTCAGGCTTCAGTGGTTTGGCTAAAGCTTACAAGACACACAGTTCATTCTGAAAGCATGAATCCTCAGACATCCGTCAGAACTGTTTAGACAGAGTACCGGCTCAACACAAAAGGTAGAAACGTAGGCATAAATCAATGCCTCGAAAAGGATTCGAACCCACGAACGAATAGATGTTCGAACGTCTTAAAGAAAGAAACTGCTGTGAAAGTTTTAATTATGATCCTTGATTATGAACAGATCCCTGGCAATGGTTGATTCATTACATGCATTCACTGCATTTATGTTGGACACTGCTCATTACCTGACGCAAGTTTTATTCAACAACAGGTCCACATGACATTTCTGAATTTGATTCTATTCCCCAAGATGACCGTCTTCTTGGTTACTGCGCCGTGTAATCTGGTAGAAGTTTACCGACGTTTCAGAGGTCGCACAACCCAGACTCGCCGCCGTGAAAACCTCGAATCTATTCCTGTTTTCAAATGACTGTCATTAATCTGACCTGGGAAGTCGACAGGATGGCAAATAAGTAAGCATTCAACCGGCATGGCATGCTATCTCGACCTCTGACTCTAATAACAAAAACAAAACATATCCGATTTACAACCCAGTTGAATCCCGCAACACAACAGATTCTAGAACGGTCGTATAAGTTAAATATTGCTCAGACAATGAATAATGCCCCAACATAATTGTGGTCTAACAGGTAGTCAACAGCCATGTATATCGAAAGCGAAATTTCTCTTGGTTAGATGTAAGAGGGTACCGCATTATAAACAACTTTATCAACCAAGAAAGTGCATCTACTCTTTAACATTTGCATGACTATACCACACTGCCAGCAAAATTAATTGACGAAACTGCTCCAAATCAAATAAACAATATATAAAATGCCTTAAAGTTTCAATTAATTGTCCTCATTTATATCTTGCGGCCCACGAGTCTACCAAGTATGAAAGGTTGAGAAGCCTGTTTTAGACGTTTAGTAGGACTACGTGGGCGAAGGATCGGCCCATCTCAAAGTCTGTAAATACAGATGACGATGCATCAAAAAATATCTCGGGCACACGAGATATGAACCAGCATTCCCTGTATTCAAAAGATACTGCATTAGTTAATATAACTGACCCAGATGTAACCTAATCTTACTTTTGTTGAAGGCAGTGAGTGAGGACATCATCCGAAACAGGTGGAAGGTGAGACAGATGCTTACTCGGCTGACACCAATGTAATTTTAAGGTCACTGTGACACTAGGAGGATCAGACGACCAAGAATGTGGAAGTGTGGAGAGAGAAGCAAACACAACAGCACGCCACTGACCTCACAGAGTCAACACTGAACACTTTGGGAAAAGACAGGCTTCGTGCTCCGTACAGATCCCACTGATGACAGACGACTGACAAAATCAAACGGGGCTTAAATGAACACAAGACAATCGAAAAACTAGAATCATGTAACAAAGGTAAATAAAGATGGGACAGGATCTTAGTGAAGAATAAAATGATACAGCTGAGATGAAAACTTGCCTCTGCGAGCAAACATAACGACATAAGGGTGTATAAATAAAGAACTTTTCGATAGGAAAAATGGAGGTTCCAGCAGTATTGCCAACGGAATATGCTGCATTGGTTTATTTTATAACTCCTTTCCAACTACACAGTTTATAATTAGTTTAATGGAAAATTTGTGGAAGATGAATTGGATACATTTGATGCAATTTACTTAACAGCAGATAAATTACAAGAAGTGTGAAATTCCTCAGAATAGTTGGATTTCGAATCGAAAATTAAACCAAGGAACTTTCTGAACTTTTGAAGCATGAGTGCTAGCAGTCAAATGTCAATGGTAAAGCTTCCCCTCTGCTTATGCAACATGATTTTGAGGTATATGGGGAGGGGGGGATGAACTGATTTCAACTCCTTCGGGACAAAGTCTAATGGCGAGATTTTATAAACTTGGTAACAAACTCCCTGGTTTCACAAGAGCACAAAAATGCTTGACAGGCTGAGAGTCAACTATTCTGAAATAAGTCAGTACTATTCCTGCGGAACACAAAACTCAAGCGACACGCGATGGCTTCCCCATTGGGTCCCATGCGGAGGAACAAACCGAACCCGGGAACTACAGGCACAGCTGGTGTGTCACTATGTCGTTCAGTAAAATTAATCCCGAAGTTCCACTCACCGATTCTTCTAGTGTCGGTCTGTTCTCGGGCTTCGGTTATTTGTGTTGTGTGGGGAGTTCGGCCATTGACCGCGGTGTGGTTGCTGTCAGAGTCCTCGAATTATAAATGCGCTGCATATATGCCGAGCAGCAGAGACAGATGAGTCGAAATCTATTCAGACGCTTTCCAAAGCCACAACACTCTCTAAATGCTACCGGATATTTGTAACGAAGCGGGACAAACCACTGAATTCTTTAATCTATCGCCTTGAGACGACTTCAGACTTGGACACACAACAGCGGAGGCCTAACATCCGGTTCTGAAAGATAATGGGAACATTTTAACTAGACGACAAACTATCAGCTTAGAAAGAAGGATTCTACTCTTTGATATTACTTAACATTAGTAACTACCGGAAACATCATTCTTAGACTAACTGTAGTATGGAATACCAACGTTTCGAGTTAAATATTTCTGCCTTTAGTCACTTCAATCCTGAAGATTGAGACAGTATGTTTCTCCGAAACACTGGTATCTGTCTACGAGTCTACACGGCTTCAAAATCCAGAACAACAATATTATCGTGTCTGTACATTATGCCTTTGTTCGCATAAGTGATCCAAATGTCTCCAGCCACCTTGCTTGTTAGATTTTATTCACGTTAAAGTACTTATATTTGTTCTGTTGGTTTCGACCGTTAATTAGAGTGGCTTGTACAGGCAGCAGCATAGAATTATGGTGAGACGTGTCAAAAAAGGGAAAGACAGTCAAGTATAGAACAATGATTACAGAATTAATACAATGGACGCGACCGGATGCTGAACATTGTTCTAAAGTTTACTTATATGATGCATGTATTTCGCTGATTCATATGGGAAAGCGTTATCTCTTCGTATCGAAACTGAATGCAGTCCTTGGCGCTGGAAATGTGAAGTATTTACTCACCCTTACAGTTCTCTTTGGATTGATTGGGTAATCTAAATAGCTAACTTGCTAACCAACCAAATGACTAATGAACGAAGTCACTACGCAAATAGCTAATTACTAAACAATTATCTGATTAAGTTAATAACCAATTAACGAATTGACTCACGGACAAACCAGTCGTTGAGTGGTTGCCACTCCTGCTTCGTATTGAAGCGATCTTGGGTTCGAATCTCGGATGGTAACCTATTTTGATTTTTCGTGATTTTTCTTAGTCCATACAGGAAAATACTGGAATTGTACCTTCCTTCTATAACGTCGCCTATTTATAAATTCTATCCTGCCATGATATATTTAATTTGTAAATCGCCCGAAAAATACCCAAACGATCAGTTAATCACTTAATGACAATTTCTGACCAAACAATCGATTAACTGACTAATTACTAAAGTAATCGGCTTACTAACAGAATAATAAATTACTTAAGAGAAATATTAATTCTCAAGTTCACTAGCTACATGATTAATCAACTAATTTATAATTTATAACTACTTTACCAACCGAATAACTAATGGATTAACTTCACGTTTTATATATACGTTTTGTATAGTTTCGCTGATAAACGTTCGGAAGCTAAAATTCAGGAATTTTTGCCTTGAGGTTTGATAAGTGCTGTACCTCAGCTGCAGTTACCTCATCGTACATCAGAGTTACTCCACATTACTTAGAGTAACTTTAGCTTTAACTCATGTGACGTTAACGAAAGTTACCTCCGATTTAAAAGAAAACAGGCCTAATGTATCTAATAACAAATAAAACTAACAACCTAACCTAACCATAAATAGCCAGATCCAACTTAACCAAACGCGTATCAGCGTGTGTGGTAATAAATTTAACAAAAAAGTGCATTTTGTCTAAAACAGAGAACAAGATTCCGTCAGCATAAAATGGACCTATTGTATTTTACAAATGTTAAAAATTAGTGTCATGCGAGTTAGTTGAAGTGACGTCTTTAAAAACATACGAAATACAAAACGACAAAGAAGAATACGATTCCAACTTATTCATGTAGTAATATTTTAACAAACGTTTCAGCCATCACAGGGTTCAAAATCAAAATAACTGGAGAACACACAGAATAGTCTGCTCTCAGTATTGAGCAAACATTGTAGGAAAAAACAGGTGCAATAAAACACAAGGGAAAGTTCCATTTGATGAAACAAATATGAGAAACAGACTTCTTTGTTCCATCAGTAGCACAGTAGAAAGTAAAGCACACACTTCTCACATAGGGACTACACAATTCAGACTAAACCTTTCCCATGATTATTAGTGATAAGGATGTATGATACAACGTTACTAGAGCAACGGTATCACAAGGACTGGTCCGCTGCAATGTACAATAAACTCTACAGATAATAAACGACACGAAGAGATAAATTACCTCATTTTTTAAATATACATCATTTCGAAAAGTGTTTCAGATCAAAATTATCGAGAAATTATTTACGTAATAGATCAGTTATTTGTAATGGATTCCACAGAAAGCGGTAAATGTCTTGACAAGGTGAGCGATTATCGGGTGTTTCAAGGACTTTCGGTCTTGTTTTTGACGGGTATTGTCAAAAGTGCGTGTTTTATATAAATTAATAGTAATCACAGCAGAATCCAACACACTATAAAAACGAATTGTTCAGATAAAGCATGGCGATTTTAATACACATTATTTACTTCGTATGTAGCAGATACATTATGCCCTGGGAAGAATAAACGTATGAAAAAGGGCACAACTTAATGAGGATGTAACATCCCCCATTTACAGCATGATAATCCGAAACCCGTCTCTTTTATGAAAGGGTGACAATTTCAAACCAGTCAGAATGTTTCCGAAATTCTTGCCATTGGCAAAACAATTATGTTATCTATATTACCACTGCAAGTTCACATGAAGCTTTAAAATTCGTATTATCTTTCATTCACCTCACCTAAAACAATTAGGTCTTCGAAAATTTGTTTACAAACTCTCTCCATATGATGTGTTTATCTGGATCAAAACTTGACTATTAATTAATGTTAATGCTGATATAAAGTCTGTTCCACTCCAAAATCCGTACAGAACAATTCTGCAAGTTGAGAAATAAATCGCTTCGTAGCTGTTCCATTGTTTTCTTGACGTCACATTTCGTAACGATAATGTGAAAATATAACAACGCAACTTCCCGTTATTTTTTTTAAAGGACAGTAAAGTTACGACTTCTTACGCCACAAGGATTGGCTGCAATTCAGATTCAGCTAAATAATAACAGTTAAATTTAACATGTCACTTTAATTCATTCTGTATTCTAGTGAGCAGGCCAAATTTTTCAGTCATTTGAAAACAAAGTGTTGATCTACGAGACATTAAGAAATTTGAGACTGTGAGATACAGCATTGCAAAACAAGGAACTTCATGGCATATCTCATAAAGTTAAAACGTTGCGACCGACTGGAAAAGTGGCTCGAACTTTGGACAAGAAAAAACAAACACAGAATTCTGGTTGGAAAAACGTGGCGTAGCAGACCTCTTAAAAGATCAACAAGGAAACTAGCGGATAATATTAAAACGGATCTTAGGAAAATGGGACGCGAGGATGGGAACTGGTGGAAGACGATCAGGATTTCTGCAATTGCTGTGCTGGCTCTTCGGTTTTTACTACGAAAGAGTCGGTTGAACACTTTGCCAGAAAGAGAGTCGGTTCATAAATAATTTAAGTTGTGAAAAGTGATTTTCTTAATTAATCACCAGTTCACTCGAAATGAACTTAGGACAGACAGTTCGTCAGTGGTCGTATGGAAAGTTGTCCGCGACAAGGAGTGTTTTCGGCTACCTTGCGCGGCCGTATCAACCGTTGAGGTAATTAACACATGATAAGACAATTA